CGAGCGGAGCTTATCATATGAGTGATTGTCCGTCGTCCGTGTCAATGTTTTACTTTTTAGCTCTGCTGTCGACTTTGTCGAGCGGAGCTTATCATATGAGTGATTGTCCGTCGTCGTCGTCCGTGTCAATGTTTTACTTTTTCGACTTCTTCTTGAAAACTACAAGCCTAAATGCTTTGATACTTGGTGTATATGTACCTTGGGTAGACCTCTCTCAGATTTGTTCATTTCATGATGATATCTTCAATTCTCAAATTTTGGTGAATATTTTTGTCATTTTTAGTAAAAAGTGATATTTTCGACTTCTTGTTGAAAACCGCAAGTGCAATTGCTTTGATATTACATGTATAGGTACTACATGTGGACCTCTCTCAGATTTGTTCATTTTGTAATGATATCTTTAATTCTCTAATTTTGGTGAATATTTTTGTCATTTTGGTAAAAAGTGATATTTTCAACTTCTTGTTAAAAACCGCAAGTCCGATTGCTTTGATATTACATATATAGGTACTACATGTGGATCTCTCTCAGATTTGTTCATTTTGTGATAATATCTTCAATTCTCTAATTTTGGTGAATATTTTTGTCATTTTTGGTAAAAAGTGATATTTTCGACTTCTTGTTAAAAACCAATAGTTCAATTGCTTTAATATTACATATATAGATACTACATGTCGACCATTCTCAGATTTGTTCATTTCGTGATGATATCTTCAATTCTCTAATTTTAGTGAATATTTTTGTCATTTTTGGTAAAAAGTGATATTTTCGACTTCTTGTTAAAAACAGCAAGTCCGATTGCTTTGATATTACATATATATATATACTACATGTGGACCTCTCTCAGATTTGTTCATTTTGGGATGATATCTTCAAATCTCTAATTTTGGTGAATATTTTTGTAATTTTTGGTAAAAAGTGATATTTTCGACTTCTTGTTAAAAACCAAAAGTTCAATTGCTTTGATATTACATATATAGATACTACATGTAGACCCTTCTCAGATTTGTTCTTTTCGTGATGATATCTTCAATTCTCTAATTTTAGTGAATATTTTTGTCATTTTTGGTAGAAAGTGATATTTTTGACTTCTTGTTAAAAACTGTAAGTCCGATTGCTTTGATACTATACATATTGTTCATTTTCTAATGATGTCTTCAGTTCTTTAATTGAAATGTGCATTGCTAACAGCGGAGCTATCTCAGCCGATAGGCTGCTTGTTTTACAGTGTGTGTATGTTATCATGAGAAATGTTAGGTCATTGTCTAACTAAAACTATTTTTATTTTGGAAATGCAAGTACTTCTACAATTTTTCATATAGCGCTAGTCTTGAAATTATTATCTGAGATACTGTTGAGTCAGCTTCTAATAGAACAAACATGGTATCACTGTAACTATAATAGGAATCTAGTTTGTGGAAGCTAGGAGGACAGTGATTTATTACTTCCAGTTGGTATTTAAATAAAGCACTCATTCCTCA